GGTCTCAGCTGACCGGCATGAATGTGATGAGTACGTCTTCCTGTTCCCGTCCAGTCCCTTATTGGAACAGTGCACTAACGAGGGGGTTACTTTGACAGTGTACTACATCACCTACCTCTTCTCCATGGCTGGGTACACCGGTGACTCCACCCTCCTTGCCTCCTCCATTGAGTACATAATTAATGTGTTCATGACCCTCCCGGCACTGATCTGGATGGACAAATGGGGGCGTCGCATGCCATTGCTGGTTGGCGCAGCTCTGATGGCCATCTTGATGTATGCCAACGGTGCGATCATGGCGGTTCATGGTACTGTGGTGCCTGGCGGCATCAACGGTGTTGCGGCCGAGTCTATGCGTCTTCACGGCGCTCCGGCCAAAGGTCTGATTGCTTGCACATACCTCTTTGTCGCGTCGTATGCGCCTACCTGGGGTCCTGTGTCCTGGACCTATCCCCCTGAGTTGTATCCGCTCCGGTTGCGTGGTAAGGGAGTGGCTTTGTCGACCTCAGGGAACTGGGCGTTTAACACTGCATTGGGACTGTTTACACCGACGGCCTTTGAGAACATCCGCTGGAAGACCTACATCATGTTTGGAGTGTTCAACACTGCGATGTTCTTGCACGTGTTGTTCCTTTTCCCGGAGACAGCAGGAAAGACGCTCGAAGAGACGGAAGCGATGTTTGAGGATCCCAACGGCATCAAGTACATTGGGACACCGGCCTGGAAGACCAAGATGAAGACCCGAGAGCTAGAGCAGTTGGAGCACGGTGAAGTGGATGTGGAATCAAAGATTGAAACCCGCCACGCAGAGACTTCGGAGACCGCCCCCAAATCGCAGGAGGCGACAGCGTAATGTGCAGCGGCAGTATCTGCAAGTGAGACCGTGAGGTGTATGTAATGTGTGTGTGTGTTTATCAAATGGATACCCTGGGAGTGTTGGGATAAATTGTTTGCGAGACCAGAGTAATGGATTGAGGCTACGGAAGCGAGAGGAATGGCAGCGTGAACAGACCGGCTAATAGAGGGGTGTAGTATCGTAGTAATATGCTGTATGCAAATGCCTGTTGGACTTGATGCTTTGCAGAGACTAATAATTTCGTCAAACACCACTACTGTGCATTCACCATCCTCAAAGAAAACCTAAGAATAGACCACCAAGCAAGCATAATAGCACGTGACCATCCCTGGAATGTCCCCCCGACACTCAGATTCCACAACTCAGCCAATGTAACCTGATAATAACTACCTGATTTGTTAATGACCGACAAATTATTCCAGCAGGTATGTGGTGTATATGATTACTCCTCAACTGAGACCACACAAAGTACTAATTTATAATCCTACCCTACTTGCTCCCTCCACAGCCTCCATCTATCTACCTTAGTACTCTTAGTGCCGCCCATGTTCACCTCCTCATTGGGTGGGGCGCGAACGCGTCTACTAAAAGTACTACGACGCGTGCCCACAACATCACCAATCCGTCACCACCAACACTACTTATTAGTCCCACGGAGCTGGAGCCACAACCACACTAGCTTTTCCAAATCCTTTTCCACTAGAGGAGCATCCACATCCACATCCACACCACCATCAAATACGATAAGAACCATCGCGCTAGTTAGTGCGATTAGTGCGCCTGCATTATGGTGGCTCGGCACCAACACCAACACTAGTAATAGAAATATTACTACTACTAGCCACAGCAATAACAATCCAGATACAGCTAATGATGCACCGTATCTTCCCCACCCACCACCTACACAAGAACCGGTGGTAGAGAGGGGTCTCTCAGTGGAAGAAGTAACGCGGCTGATATCGCGCGATGCGTACTCCTTTCCCGTGAGGAATGTCCCCGGCGTGAGTAGATATGATGGCGTGCAGGTGGGATCTAATGACCCGTGCGAGGACCGGTTTGTGCACGGGAGGTTTGCGGCGCCCTGGGGTGGGAGTGATAGTAACGGGCAGGGGCAGGGGCAGGGGCAGGGGCAGGGGCAGTGGATGGCGTGGGGGGTGTTTGATGGGCACTTGGGCGGGCAGATGGCTGAGGTGTTGAGGGAGAGGTTGGTGGGGGTTGTGCGGGATCGATTGGGGTTGTTGGGTTCTGCTGGAGGTGATGTGGGTGAAGAGGCGGTTCACCGGGCGATTATGGATGGGTTTGTGGGTCTTGATGATTCGATTGTCAAGGGGGCGATGGAGTTGTCGGAGAGTGAGATGCCGTTGGCGGAGAAGGTCAAGAGACTTGCCCCTGCGTATGCAGGGTCTTGCGCTTTGCTGTCGTTGTATAATCCTGCGTCGCACATGCTGCATGTTGCATGTACTGGTGATTCACGCGCGGTGTTGGCGAGGAAACGAGCAGATGGGGGGTGGGAGGCTGTCCCTTTGTCTGTGGATCAGACTGGTAAGAATGAAGATGAGATTGCCAGGCTTCGTGCGGAACATCCTGGTGAAGATGAGGTGGTCAAGGGTGGCCGCGTGTTGGGCCTTGCGGTCTCGCGTGCGTTTGGCGATTGTCAGTGGAAATGGCCGTTGGAGTTTCAGAATGATGTGCAGAAGAGGTTCTATGGTCCGGCGCCGTTGACACCGAGGTATCCTGTTCGCACCCCGCCGTATTTGACGGCTGAGCCGGTGGTTACTAGTACTAAGATTGGGGATGGAGAGCCGGCGTTTCTGATTATGGCAACCGATGGGCTGTGGGATATGATGTCTAGTCAGCAGGCTGTTGATTTGGTAGGGAGGTGGTTGGAGGGAGCAGCGGTAGGTGAGAAGAGCAGCAGGTTGGAGTCGTCTGGGCGGTTTGATTTCAGCCAATTTTGGGATGAAGTGGATTGGCAATTTGTGGAGGAACGGACAGCAGTTCAGGATGACAATGCTGCTGTGCATTTGGTGCGCAATTCTCTTGGGGGCAATCATCATGAGATGATAGCTGGTCGGCTTGCTTTTAGCTTTCCGGCTTCTCGGCGAGTGAGAGACGATGTGACCGTGCAGGTGGTCTTCTTCAATGATGACCCACGTAAGTGAGGAAAAACCTCTTTTCACATATGACTTGAAATATAGACACCTAAAATATCATGATTCCGACCCCATCCTGCTCCTACACCTCGCCCTAACCCCCCGACTGGCCCTCTGCGCCTGCGAAATAATCTCCCCCTCTAGCCCACACACCAACTTCCCACCCAGAACCAAAATCTCCCCATCAACCATAGTCAAATCTACATCCCTCCCCGTACATCCGTGAACCACCGTCGTAATAGCACTCGCCCCATCCTCATCCTCCCAATGCCACGGCGCAGCCCCCACCCCTCCCTTGCCATACGGATCCACGATCACCAGATCCGCCTTCTTTCCCACCTCCAAACTCCCAATCTCATCTTCCAGCCCCAGCGCCTTAGCTCCATTAATCGTCGCCATTTCCAGCACCGTCTCCGCCCCGACAACCCTTGCATCGTGACAAACCCCCTTATGCAGTATCGCAGCTAAATGCATTTCCTGGAACATATCGTAGTGATTTGAACACGGCGCGCCATCTGTCCCTAGCCCCACATTAATCCCGTGCTCATACCCCAACATCGATGGTATCGGCGCCACCCCAGATGCTAGTTTCAAATTCGAGCTCGGGTTATGCGCTACCGATGTGTGCGTTACACTTAGAAGTGGTAAATCTCTTTCAAGGTCGAGGTTCACCATATGTGCTAGCACGAGATTGTGGCTTTTGCTCTGCGTTTCTTGAACTTTAGGGCAGAGTTCCGTATCCTGGATGAATTCCATCGCGCTGCAGCCGTATACATCATGGTAGATCTCTCGGTCTCGGGGTGCTTCGGCACAGTGCATGGTTAGTGAGATACCGTGTGATGCACATGTTTCTCCTAGCTCGTGGTACAGTGAGGCTGGTGCGCCCCTGGGAGTTCCAGCCGCGGCCCACACGTGCAGGCGGTTATTGTGCGTGCTGTGGTGGGTTTCGTGGGCAGAGAGCAGACCGGGAATAGACATTGCGAGGAGGTCCTGGTCGCGTGGGTCGGTGATGGACAGTTGGCGGTTGGTTTCGGGGAACTTGATGAGCTTGCCCTATCGCAATTTTAAATTGTTAATATTGATGCCGGAATCTAATGGAGTGGAAAGGTTAGGTATGTTTACCAAGCACCCCCTAATTCCCATCTCTCCCACAGCATCACAGACACTCTCCCATCCCGCTCGGTAGGTCACCATCGGGTCTAAGAAGCATGTCGTCCCCGTCTGGAGCATCTCTGCGATGGTGAGCCGCGCAGCATGGTAGCCATCTTTGTCTGCGTAGGATGCCTCGAGGGGCCAGATTGCGTCGCAGAGCCAGTTGTGGAGAGGGAGGTCTTCGGCCAGCCCACGGAGAAGGGATTGAACCAAGTGCGCGTGGATGTTGATCAGTCCTGGGAGGATGATCTTGCCGGTGCAGTCGATAGTTGCTATGTCCGGAGTGAGAAGGTCGGCGGGGACGGGAGATGACCCGATAGCGGCGATGCGGGTGTCGCGCACGAGGAGGTACCCATTGCGGATTATGGTACGGTCGGGGTTGATGGTTATGATTGTGGCGTGGGTAAATAGTGTTGATTTAGGAGATGTTGAGGTCATCTTGGATGTGGATGGTGCTGAAAAGGACAGAAGAAGAATGGAGGGAGCTCTTGTAGCTCTGGTGGGGACGTTTAACACTGTCGATCACGATAAGCAGCCCTCGGCCGAGGAGCTAGCCATTTGCCGATGTCGATACCTGCATGAATGGCTTATCGTTATCTGATAGCACCGTTATCGGGGAGATATAGAAAATTATACAAGATGAGCTAGATCTGCTGGATCAATTGAAGGGAACGCTATTCTTCTCACCCAGATTCGCTATGGAGCCCAAGTCTAGCCCTATCTCCACTGAAGAGTCCCCGTCCCACTCAACTGGGGAAGTTCTCCACGCTTCATCGAAGTGGGGATACTGGAAACACTATCTGACTAGTAGAGATGGCTGGATCGGTGATTATGTATGTGTTTATGAACCATACTGTGGCTCTACTAACGCATTGCAGGACTACATGTACCTGATTACACCGAATATTTACCCTCTTAATAAGCGCTACAAAGGCACTGAACCACCATTTTATGGCCTCAATGATGAGGTTCCAATCTTACTAACCATCATCCTGGGCCTGCAACATGCCCTAACAATGATCGGTTCGGTGGTTTCTCCTCCTTTGGCCCTCGCAAGTGGTGCCTTTTATCTGAATTCTGTACAATCGCAGTACCTCGTCTCTGCAGCATTCATAACTACCGGCATCGCCACAGCACTGCAGGTAACACGGATACACCTCTTCAAAACACCATTATACATTGGCACAGGACTGCTATCCGTAGTCGGTCCCACATTCGATGTCATCGCTGTTGCTATGAACTACGCAGACACCAGGTACAACAACGGCTCATGCCCGACAGACGAGAATGGATCGCGTCTCCCGTGTCCCGAAGCATGGGGTGCCGTGCTAGGTACCTGTTTGTGTACGGTCTGGATACAGATCCTCATGTCCCTAGTACCTCCAAAGGTGCTGAATCGCATCTTTCCCAAGGTAGTCACGGGAAGTCTCCTGCTCCTGGTTGGAGTATATCTTATCTCAAGTGGGATGGAGAACTGGGGTGGGAGCTCAAACTGTGATGGTGGGACTGGGTATTACGCTCTCTGTCCTAATGTGGATGCTCCAAGGCCGCTGCCATGGTATTTTCTACCCATCTATTTCAACTATAATGCTAATAATTCTAGGGGCGATCCCAAATTAATCGGCCTCGGCTTCAGCGTCTTCGCGACCATCATATTTGTCGAGTTCGTTGGCTCCCCACTCATGAAATCCGCCTCAGTCATCCTAGGCCTAGCAGTTGGCTGTGCCATTTCCGGCGCAACAGGCTACTGGTCTCGCGGCGAGATTGACGCTGCACCCGTGGGAACATTTCTATGGGTACACACCTTCCCGTTGTCCGTTGACGGGGCACTCGTTCTCCCGCTACTCATTATGTTCGTGTGCGAAGCCGTCAGCTGCATGCCGGACATTCTGGCCACAGCGGAAATTTCCCGCGTGGATATCGAAGGACGGGAGTTTCATAGTCGCATTCAGGGTGGAATCTTATGTGATGGACTAGGAAGTCTGATCAGTGCGTTAGGAACTGGACTTCCCATGGTTAGTCAGGCGGGAAATAATGGGGTTATTTCGTTGACTGGATGCGCTGTACGTATTATCCCTATTTTCTTGCCGCTACAGTGCTGATTTATGGGTACAGAGCCGACGAGCAGGATGGTGTGCCTCTGCCTTCCTCCTTCTGATGGGCATCTTTGGAAAATTCGGCGCTGTCTTCGGATCCATGCCCCCTTCTGTGCTTGGAGGAATGCAGGTGTTCCTGTATAGCACGATCGTGGTGGCTGGTGTGCGTGTCCTCGGTCTGGTTGATTTCAACCGACGCAATAGATTCATTCTTACGGCGTCGCTGGGGATCGGCATGATGGATATTGTCTCCCCGAGCTGGTTCAGTTCTGTGTTGGCGTATAGCGGACCGAATGTGCATTTACAGGGGTTTGAGCAGGGGATTAACCTGATTGTTGAGACGCCGTTTATTATTGCTGCCGTGGTGGGTGTGGTGCTGAATCTGGTGTTGAAGGAGGATGAGAAGCTGGATACGGTGTTGCCTTAGTATGCAGTCACCTTGAAGTACATTACCATTTTATTTATCATGGACGAGTTTGTACAATTACCAAATATACTAACCGAGTTCAATAATCAAACACACGGTACTAAATATTCGATAAAAATTGTAGTTAACTCGTTAAGCAAAGAAAACAATCAAGCAACCTGCTCCATCAACTTCAACTTCTCCTGCAACGCCGCAAAATTCCTCTTCATCGCGTTCGCATTGAACTGCTCCCCAGTAACAAGCGGATACTTCTTCTTCGGCCCCTGGATCAGCGCATCCTTGCACGGCTGATTAAAGTACGCGATACTATATCGATCGCCGAAATAATCACCTGGTTCGGACGGCGCCTTGACGCGATGAAATGTGGACTTGAACCGATCGTCCGACCATGACATCAACAAATCCCCAATATTACACACTATATCTCCAGTATGTGCCTCCACTCGTGTCCATTCATCCCCGATACCGAATTCTGTCACCACTTCCCGTCCGGGGCATATTTCCAGTCCGCTCTGGCCTTCCTTCTGAAATAGGAGGGTCAAGAAATCCCAGTCTGCGTGTGCTCCAGCCCGGTGATAGGTGTTCCCGTCGGATTTGTCTGGTAGAGCGTAGTAATGTAATAGTCGCATGGTGGTTTGTTCGTTCGGTCGCGATACATCATGGCATCTGATGAAGAAGTCATCGGGGAAGCCGAGGCCCCGGGCGAAGCAGATCATCAACCGCTCGGAGACTTCCTGTACGCGGTGCATAAATGAGAGAGATGTGTTTTTAAAGCCAGAAAGGTGTGCATCGTCCATCCATAGGTCGGTCATGTTTTCGCCAAACTGCAGCTGGTAGGACTCTTTGGTATCAGGCTGGCCCGTCGAGGGCCGTATCTGGGCTTTCTTCTCCCATCCTACGTTGTTGGCGTTCCACGGCACAGTGGCTTTGATGTCATCCGGGAGGGAGAAGAAGCGCTGTGCAGTGGAGAACATGTTCTCGATTTCGGAGACGGAAATGCCATGGTCAACTAGGGTGAAGAAGCCCACGTTCTCGGCGGCGTTGACGAGTTCTGCGGTGATTTCGTCGATGCGCTGGTCGAAGTCGCGCAGCGAGATGCGAGGGATGGGACGATCGACGTATCTTGTTGCCATTTTTTTAGCCTAGATGCAGTTCAATGATGCTAAAATGCTATAATGCTATAATGCTATGATGCTAGATGGTGTTGATGAGGGTATAGTTATAAGAAATGAAGCTAAGAGAGTCAGCTCGGCCGAGCTTATCAGCGGGGAACTGCGATGTCGGCCGTTTCCCCGCCTTATCAATCAGTGACTGGTCCAACCCCAACCCGGCCGAACAACAAACCACTTTCTCCCCATCATGAGCTCCATCCGTCGACGCCTGGCCTGTGTGGAGTGCACCCGGCGCAAAATCCGCTGTGACAAAGTTGTCCCATGTCGTAATTGCACGAGGAGGTGAGCATCCCCGAATTTGCTCTTGACAGCGGCTGACTGCGACAGAGGTATTATTTGTTCTCGTGCCAGAGGTAGCGACGATGAGGTGGAGCGACTACAAGCTCGTGTCCAGGAGCTTGAATCTGCCCTGAAAGAGGCGACCGATCCACAATTGCAACCTAATCCTCGATCCAAATCTGAGATCATCCAAAATGCTAGCAATACCCCTATTTCCGACACGGTGGAGACCCCCGAACGTGAAATGGCGGACGCCGCCACCATCCTCGAGTTCCTCGCATGGGGCCGACGGAAGAATCCGGACTATCACGATATGCTAGCCCGTAAAGATGGTGTTGAGCATCATTCCCCTGGCGACGTAACGGCCGAAGGCAGCGGCGATGACCGGAACCCCGAAGTTTCCTCCGCTTTGGCGTATCTCCAGCTCCTCCTCCCAGACCGTGAGCTCATGCAGCAGCTCGTCTCCTACCATTGCGACTGCGTGCTTTGGTACCATGGCTCCTTTCATTCCCTTCGTCTACAAGACGAACTCGACGACTTCTTCCGCTTCGCCAATGGTCATATCGCCCATCCTCGCGTCGACCTGCAATGGGTCGCTCTTCTCTTCTCTGTCCTTACCGGCGCCCTCGCCTGCGCTCCTCGCATGACTGCTCAGGCATGGGGCTTTTCAGAATGGGAGCAGACCACTCTAGCACAGCGATGGTTCAAAGCCGTCTCGACGTGTCTACACCACGCCGACTTCACCGCCGTCCACTCCCTATATGCCGTTCAGGCCATTGCAACACTAACCATGTCGGCTCATCTCCTCGGCTTCTCTAATAGCCTCTCTGTCCTGCTCGCAGCCGCTACCCGTATTGCCCAAGGCCTGGGACTACACCGTCTCGGCTCGGAACGTGAAACAGGACCCTCGCCGGCCATGATTGATCGCGAAATTGGTCGTCGTGCCTGGTGCCAGCTTTGCATCCAAGACTGGTTCTCCATTCCCTTCTCTGAGAGCTATCTTATCCCACGGACGTGCCTCAATACTGCCCGCCCGCGGAACTGCTGCGATGAGGACATGCTGAAGCTACCTGATGATGACCCAAGTGTCGCGGGATACTCGAGGTTCTTTTACCAGGTAGCGGCGCTTATGCCGTCGTTGCAGGATAGCATGGCTGCGTCAAATACCCTGTATACGCGATACGAAAAGGTTTTGGAACATGATCGTAAATTACGCAGCTTAGCTACACAGGGTCTTCCACTGTACTTGAGGAATGTACCTGTCGAGGAACATCCGGAGTGGCCGAGATATGTCCTCTGGGCTAGACGCAGCTTGGCGATCAGCTCATCGCACAAGATTATCATGATCCATCGGAAGTTCCTCGAGTTAAGCTTCACGAACCCGGTGTTTGCAAGGACGCGTCGTACGTGCGTTGCTGCCGCGCGGACAATCATCAAGGAGCAGAAAGAGGCGATCCATGATGGCGGACCGGTACTTTGGATCCACCAGGCCTTTAGTGTTGCTGCTAGCGTACGCATTTACTTTCCACCCTGACCTACTTCTTCATTCGCTAATAAAAACAGATAATATTATGTCTCGATCTTTTCCACCGCACCACTTCCGACCCGGAGACAACCTACCACCGCCAACTCATCAACGACGGCCTGGAGATCCTCTCGCACAACGAATCGAACATGATTGCCCGACGGGGAGTGCATCTCCTCGAGGCATTGCTAGCGAGAGAGCGCGACCGGAGTAGTCCTAAACATCTGCCGTCACCAGAGCAGGACGCGGATCGCGATTTGGATCTGGTGGGAGTGATTCGGAGTTTCTGTGAGAAGGGTCGCTGGCAGAGGAGTCGAACAGCTTCGCGGGATGGGAGTCAGGGTTGGCCGCCTGTGGATAGGGGATCGAGTGAGAGGAATGCACAGGCGCAAACTCCGGCGGGGGCTACGTCGCCGACATTGGAGAGGTTGTCCATGTCGTATGGCTTGGAGTGTGCGGAGAGTTTGGAGGATATTTTGGTGTTGGCGGCGAATTATGCTACATGATGATGTGAATGGTAGAGATTGTGACGATTTCAATCTCGACCTGTAACAGAGTAATGTACCTGTGAATGTGGACCACATTCAGGTGCAAATTCTGAGTGACATAGACTGTGAATATTTTCCATTGTGTACATAGATTGTAGAATGATTGCTATGTAACTCCCATGTTTGATCACTATACTCAATGTCACTCGATATTCTTATGTCGATAAACTGGCCGAGACCCGGTCGCGGCTCAGACACGAGGATTATTTATCTTATATCATTCTATCGCTATCACTACATGCCAAAAGTCAGTTTACACCTCTACACAACACAAACCAGAGAATTCCCAACATCAACTATACCCTCCCCTCTACCCCCTCCTGCACCGGAAGAATCTCAAACGTCTCGCTCCCCCTCTCCCTTCCCCTGTTCCACCACCCACTCTGACCCTTCTTCCTCATCTCCTTCTCCACCCTCTTTGCCTCCTTCCTCTCCCTCTTCGCCTGCTTTTTCTCCATCTTGATCCTCTTCTTTTCCGCCCGACTCACCCTCGGAAACTCCGACTCCGGCCCCTGCAACACCCGGCCTGGATGAACCACATTCAACAATACCAGCGCAATGAACATCGGCACCGCATCAAAGACATACTCGTATGCTTCGTGAGTGAGTACGGGGTTACTCGTGTCCGTTCCTTGTGCGTATTGGCAGAGTCGGAAGATGATTCGGATCTGTTTCACCACACCATGTACATTAGCCTTCAGATGTTCTCGCTGGAAACGATATGATGGAACTGGTATAGCCGTACAGTGATCATCCCCAATGCAGTATACATCACGTAGAATAGCCATCGCCAAGGCATAGGTTTAGTTCTGCTTGTGGTAATGTTCATGCCTGCCATACCGCCTGCAGCCGATATCCCTGCCCGCTCAAGGTAGATGAGTTTCCGATGGAGATGGATGATCAAGCCGGTAAATATCAATATGAATACTTCTTGTAGCCCGATACCACCCATGTAAATATGGACGCCCAGCATTATTGTGCTGGTCGGTACATCTGTCTCGGTGGTAATGGCTGCGCCGGCGAGTTGCACGAGGAAGGCGAATATGTCGAGCCAGACGAAGAGTCGACCGTAGCGGCGGGCTGTGATGCCGGCGAGTTTCTGGTCTGGGGTGAAGAAGTAGATGAGTCGGCCGAGGGTCATGTAGAGGAAGGCGTTGATCCCTGTTCGAGTTGGTTGGTAAGTGGGGTATGTTAGGGTTGGGAAGTAAGAGGGGAGAGGTACAGAGAGGAGCAAGGAGGAACATGATGGTGTATACAGTGTCGTAGTTGGAATTGTTTTGTTGTAGAGTGAGAAGGGCGCGGAATATGAATGCGATTAGTTCCCATGTTGCGCCCATCATGATGACCCAGGCGTAGCGCTGAAGGTGGTTGTTAGTCGGTTGGAATGAGGGTTTGTATGAGAAACTCGTGTGTACCTTCTTGTAAAGGAATGCTTGTATCCCGTGGCATATGAGGGTTAGGCCGTATAAAACACAGAATAGTACTGCCGCCGCTAAAGAGGGAACGTAGAGGAGGATAACGTCACAAGCCTCTGGAGGAAGGTAACCATTCTTCCCTGGTTTGGGGTTTGTGCATGTTTGGGTTGAGGATGCTAGAGCACTGGTTGTCGTAGCAATTGAAGCAATTGTTGTGCTCATGGTGACAGACTAGCAAGACTTCTCACGATCGGCAAACTTCTGTTGATTGAGACGCTTGTTTTCGATGTCGAATATGATATTGGCCGACATGCGGCACGATCTAGGTCTATATACAACTCATTGAGCACCAAACAGAGCCCCAAAATCAGGCAGACACACAATATATATAAATAACCCACAGTAAACCAGTTTCATCTCTGCAAGACAGACAAATAAGAGCACATCCTGGCCATGATCTCGAGTTTTGGGAATCTGGCAGGATGCTTGGCAATCCTTCGAAATATACGAGCAATGCCAAGAATAGATCTTCTTAGGCAGCTGCCCGTACTTTCCCACGACAGGCATAGTGCCGCTCTTGTTTCACGCTCGGACCAATGATATCGTCTGTTGATGGAATTTCGCCCCATCAAGAAACAGAGGTTTGTGAGGCATAACAGCCACCATATTTTTGCTAGATCTTACCTTGTTCCTGCTATTGTTTAGCTTCCATAAAAATAGTAGTAAAAATAGACCTTCCGTTTTTCGTTCCGTGGATTTCAGAATCCCTACCACATGAATGTTTTGGAAAGCAGTGAGGACTGCGAGCTCCGAGGTATCTGATATAAATACATACTTCAGCAGCTCAGCATCACATTATCGGTACTAGAAACATTCAGTCATATTCGGCCAGGGTTGCATCGAAGCGGTAGATCAGAATTTTCAGTATTGTTCAACAATCTATAGGCACAGAATAGAAAGAAGAGACCTTCTAATATATTAATATATCTGTCAGCCATCCGTCAACCTAGCCATGCCGTCATGAAGACAGTATCTTTAAATCTTCTAGTTCTTGCACAGCATGTACGACACAGGAACCTCAGTTAAAGCCCGACCAGACTTACGCCCGGTCCTACCCAATGTAGGACCCACCTAAAAAATCATAGACGTCTTCAGCACATTTTGTCGAGAAGAGGCTTTTGATCGAAGCTTATAACTCATGATTTCATATTGGCAGTGCGGAGTCAGCTTTCATTGCATACATGGCAGCAAATCGAATCCAAGATGAGCTCCACCACAACCCAAACCCACCAACCCTGATAGCTGAAAGAGACACCACACCTATCATTTGGAGTAACCACCTATCCAACACATCAGCGACCGTGACCTGAAGCCTTGACAGAAGAAGCACTTGTTTCATATAATGAACTTACCTGTCGACTAATATCTCACCAGTTAGGCACGCATTTGCCCTGTGCAGCGTCGATGCTCAAATCACATTTCTCCCACCAGCAGCATGATCGACAACCCTCCCATGTGCAACAGTACTCGCCAGTGTGCACTCGGCAGTCCTCGCCTTCTACACTCCAATTAGCTAACACAATCTTGGTGATAAGAAAAAGTAAATCACCCACCAGCTTGAGAAATAAGTAAACTATCGATGAACTGGCGGTCACCTAGCGGAACGCGAGCCGCAGTGACCATTCCAATGGCAGTTGTGAATGCGAAAAGACTGACGAACTTCATCTTGGGGATGGGTATATATCAATATAGTAGTAGTAGGCAGATAGGGATGAGTAGATTACCGAAGTCTCGATGAAGGAGAAAAATAGATGGGGTCATTGAGGTTTCTTATGTGCGCTTGAAATTGGTAGGGCTGTCCACGTCTGCATTGATGATGGACATGTTTGCTTTTTGACTGAGATGTGTGTGATGCCCGGAGAGCATGGTACTATGTACTAGACGATCCGTCCTCGGGTATCGCTGAGGATAGCCAATCATCGGCATTAAGGTAGTAAGTGTTGCACTCTGTGGGCGCAGTAAGGTCGCAGAACGGTGGCATACTGTAAACTTCAAGGGGCGATTGCAATAACAGGTTAAGCGTGCGGGGTTGAAGTGGCTTAAAGTAAGAACTCATAGGATCTGCCCTTGCGTTGCTTATTGCTTAGTTCAATAGTAGCCCGGCCTGCATTGTGGTCTCTTCGTATGGATGGCTAGCTGATTTCCAGCAAGACGTTGCTCGTTATGGCTGTTTACTTGAAAACTAGGTATATTCAACTGTCAATTGGATGAAGTATCTTATTGAGCTATCAGGATATGTATTGGTTATCCGTGTCACATCCATACCTAGTAGAATTTGTTAGGTTTCTTATGGGAGTTTTTGCAGATCCCATAGTTTGCGATAACGGAGTAGGAGATACTAATTCGGCTTGACCTGTATCTATAGGGTAATGTGACTAAGGGTTGCACGAGTCCACACTGGCTAACTGCAGGACGGAGAGCTATTACTGAAATTAGTAATCAGCCCCGCTCAAACCTACGTAGTAAGTCCTACCTTTGGTCCACCACGGTGTTGGTGGCCGATGCTAGTAATGTTAATCGGTAAACCTGAAGGGCACATTCAAAGGGTTACAAGACCTTCGGGGATGTCCGTTACCAGACCAACCAATGAGACAATAGAGGTTGTTGGAAAGGTACCGCAAATATCGTGGTGCGCATACCCCACGCAGTGACTCAGTGCTGCGTAGAGGGCGCAGCAACCTAGAAAAAGCAACTCTGAAAATGCAATGGAGTGGGGTACGGAAAAAGAATTTCTTTGGATTCGACGGGAGCGGAGAAACTCATGATATCGGAGAGGGGACATCGGATGAAGAATTGCGTGATATGCAGGGTGTATTAATGTATCCTAGTTTGAGATAGTTCATCACAGAATGCTCTGTCTGTACCCACCTGACAGTGACCCAGAAGGTTATGAGAATAAAAGCGTGATTACATCTGGTGGCAACCATTAGAGATCTGCATTTTCTCTAGCCATGATCTATGCAGGTCTTCCTATCCAACAATGAGGCCAAATGATGAGTGCCCAATCCCGATGCTATCTCTAGCCTCACTTATTTGCTGGTTGGTTCTAATGGCTTGACTGATACGTATTAGCCAGGTGGATCCCTGTTATTGGAAAGTCGATGATCATGGCTGGGTCAGTCGTGGACCGGAGGGCTCGGAATAGGACAGAAATTCGGGATCGGAACTGCCATAAGCATGATGTCTTGATTGGAGAACAACAGTGTCCGCTGTGGTTGGTTCCCTTTGGGATCTACATCTCCATCCAGACTAGCTCAGTCTCTTCTGCGGCTGAGGATTTGCAATGCATTAGTCTGTACATACCTACTTCCTAGTCGTGAGTAAGAACAAGTCACTTTCAGCTCATTGCCGATCACTAAAAAGACTATCTCCTGTTAAGCTGGAGAGTGACGCACGGATCACCGTGCCTCGGGATTTGGGGTCAGACGTACATTGATCACACCGCTGAACATCGTTGCTTTTGTTGGTTCTGGCTCATTGTGCGAACATGAAAACATATAAAGAAGGGCCATGTTGTATCAAGGTCGAATCTCCAACTATCCTGAATTGTCTATTTCACTCCTAAAGAACGTCTTGCTAGTATCCTTGATTTTTTGTTTCGAGCCCTGCAATCTGAAAGGCCTTAAATATGAGATTCTCCCTCTTCATCGCAATCTCTGCCTTCGCTGGCTATGTTGCAGCCGCAAGTATCCCACTGGAGCAGCGAGATGATTCTTGTAGTGCGGAGGAAGAATACTGCTGCACATGGGAAGGCTGTAAAGACTGTTGCACATACTGTGACCTGAGCATTGATGCGGCTCAAGGATACTGTGGCTACGATATCTGGTGAGGAATCTTTTACCCGTCCGAGTGATTCGGGTTTTGAAGTATACTAATGATCTCCAGGTAGAGACTCGTCAACAAAGGAGGAGCTCAACCGAGTAGCATAACGCCATTTGCCGTGAGGATGGATAACTAAGGGGATGGACGACTACCATGGGGAGGGGCAACAAGGACTACATAGTGGAATGTGGGTGTATTTAGAAGTACTCGGGTCTGTGTCTACTTTGCAATGAACTAGGTTTGATTCCGATCGAATAGATGAATGTCTTCTTAAAACAAATGTCGAGTTACGATTAGCGTGCGATGGGAAGCGAGCGTGGCAAAACAGTCGAGGAAGCTGGCAACATATCAGGGAGAGCAAATTGACCGGATCATGAAGTCCATTGTGTAGCAAACATTGAATAGTATGTGAATGATGTCTCAGACATATATATACTAGTGTTGGAGTTCATGAAGCAGTGGTGTCGAGCAGTGGCAGCACGAAAATCAGCCGATAGGCACTTGTAAAATACCCCTTATGTGAGGCCAGCCGCATTGAGATTTTCGGAAAGGCGTTCTTGATGTAGCCGTTTTTCTGTTCGGGGCACACTGTCGGGCTTCGCCCAGTAAATGTAGGCGGTCTCCAAGAATAGGCCCATGAGAGTAGTAAAACTAAAACGAGTCAGCGATGATGATCGGCAGGACGTTTTCGGGTCACTTACAATGCAATGAAACTAAATGCCTCGGCAGTATAACTTCGGGAGCAAGATACTTCTCCAATCCAGCGGTTGACGCGACAGGTCCTCCGGTTGAAGTTCAGAGCAAGCAGGATGAACGAGGTGAGCCATCTATAGTGATCAGCATTGACCACCAACCGGCCTAGCTTCAGCATTTGGATACTATACTTACAGGTAAGATATAATTGCATCGGTGACAAGTAGTGGGATAATGTGCCACTTGGCCCGACGTGCTAGGCAGCTGATGCCTACAGCTACAGCTATGACAACCAGACTTGTTGTAGCCTATCCCAGGGTGAGAATGAGGCCGGATTATATAAGTTCCTTAATAAACCACTTACAATGACAAGTGAGAAAATAACACTGAGCGTCTTATTATCCTCTCTCACGGCCCAAGCTGTAATTCCCAGGACTATGATCGAGCTGATGGCTTGGATCGTCCGGGCAAACCAACCCACTAGCCCCAGAGGATGGCCAAGGTAATCATGCATGATGGGTGACTCGATATGAGAGTCGGTATAGGACAAAGAAGATGTAAAGATGGATGAGTCGCAAAATGCGCATATGAACATAGGATTGGCTTCATGTTCCGCTATTCATCCCGGCCCGTGTCTTATACTACCCGCCAGAGTCTATGATCTCATCGGTGGTGGGGACCCGACCTCAACCATGGACGCTCTGAGCTCCTTCCCATCTCAGTAGCTTAGTGACCAATGATTAACCATAATATCATCCATGGCTTATGGGGCACATTATGTGATTAAGAAGTCGCCGTCTTCTAATTGTTTTACCCAGCGATATGGGCCACGTTCTGAGGTGCCAAATTACTCCAGTGACATGATCCCTGGACGTGGGACCTCTACTGGTTTCTCATACAACAGACTAATAAATGTAATGGATGGTAAGCCATAACGGAAGAACCGAAATTGCGCAGTAAAGTTAGTAATCCATGGTCCTGGCCCGACTAAGGCTTACGAAGAGACTGCGACCTGAGGACAGCACTGGTTGTGAGTCATATAATGAATAACAGTATTAGATTAACTCGTCAGCGCGCAAGGGCCAACAGAAAGCTAAGGGAAGTGTCATTCCATGTATGGTATGGTATGGCTTGGTCTGTCTAGTGGTGTCCTTTCTCCCGGCCTAAGTACGTGAGGAGATTGTTTCCTGAGACCACTAGGCGCCAATCGCACGAAATAATAAGTGAGAAAAGCAAATCGTGTAGAAGCTATGGCTCTTACCAGTACTTACAGATATTAATCCATACTTACCAACGTGGCTGTAGCATACATGGTTCTGTCTGCTTCAGTCGACAATCGAAATACTGGAAATCCCATCACGTGACACATTATAGTCCAAGATACCTTCCTATTAAGAGGTGTATACTTTCGCCTTTCACTGGTAGCTTTTAGACTAGGTCAACTGATGCAAGCAACGGGCTTGCTCAAATCCAGCCAATCACCACCATCAATGTCACTATAGCAGAGGCCCAGCGTTGACCATCAGTGGCTGGCTTGGTATGTCTTTATGCGACATAACGAGCAGATTGGCTTACCAATCAGGACACCGGCATATGTTCTTGGGAAGGCCTCCGTGCGGGTCTGCTCTGCGTAGCTGTTAGTCCTTGTCCGCTAAATGTAGATCGAGGAAGCTCACGTATTGTGACACCCATTTAAATCTTCAGCAATCACTATCAAGGCTCCAACTGCCAAGACAAGTGTAAAAAGCTTGATGATGATATTCATGCCGTTAGTATGTGAGCGAAAATAACAGATGAGGCTCGTGGAAGATAAAGGAATTTTGTCGTCAAATGCGTGGCGGATGACACTTGTGTCGGTCGATAGAATATATGCATTTCGTGTCCCAGAAGCAATTGGGAAATATATATGTAGATAATCTGTCAATCGGGCACTGCATTTTGGAGCATAACATGGGTGAGAACACAGAGTACAACACAGACCACAACATGGATATAACATAGAAGATAACATGCGGTATAACATAGGGTATAGCATGGAGCGTAGTGAGGTGTGGGAAGAACATTGCGTATAACATGCAGCATGATATGAAACATAACCGGTTATCCCCAGCATAGTAAATCAGGTGGTACCACAGCTAGTGAGGGCAGCA